GTTATAATAGATCCATTCATAATAACATGAATGTTACTATGTCTGTGTTACTATAATAACATGCATGTTACTATATATATGTTACTCTAGCAACCAAGAATTCAACATAGATTGCACAAATTCACCCAGCACAAACTGTTGAAAAAGAAATATTTGTAATTTTCTTCCTCCACCATTATTTCTCCCCAACAATCAATCACCTGAGTAATAAAACGACTTTGTTAAATAAAAAACATTTAAGTATTCTATAATTTGTTTAAATTTTCAAGACTCATGGTACATTACATTGTTGTGCAGCTCTTCCCCATCCATGAATTTCAATACATCATTAACTTCAATGATATTTCCATACTTTTTTTCACTTCATAAAGTTGGCCTTTTAATAAAAAATAGTACATGTTAATAAAAAAGGATATAAATAGTAAACTATATAAAATTTGTTTCAAAATGGGGCATTAAGTTACTTACTTTTTTCCCTCAGCCTTATACATTTGAACCAATTTGTTGTACAGATCCGTTCCTAACTTCTTGCAGGCTTTCTATCTTCGAGTTTCAACTCGCTTACTTTCTGGCTTCTCATTTGGCATTGTAATATCCAAATCATCAACATCAATACAACTATTTTGTTTCTTCTCCATTCCTTTATTTTTGTCGTCTTGATCCTGGATTTCAACTTGTTCAAATCTTTTCTTTTCTCCCTTTTTTTTCTTTCTATACTCAAAATCTTCATCTCTCTTTCTTTTTCTTTCTTTCCATTTGATTTTTCTCACCATTGATGTTTGTCTACACCTTCGGTGGTCTGATGTTTTGGTGGAGGCCGAGGGTACTTTTGAGTAACAGCATGCACAACCATATTAGCGACAACATCATGCAGGGAATTGTTTTCTTCTTCTAATTCGGACACCCTTGATGTCAATGTCTTAATTTGCTTTTCTTGTGTTTCTTTGTTTTTCTCCAAGAGATCAACTAAAACCTTCAATTATGAAGTTTGGTTGTCCCTGTCAACAAGTTTCATCGCATATTCTTCAATCTCTTTCAAATCTTCCTCTCTTCGGTTCCCCCAATATTCTTGATAATCGTTCGAAGTGCTTCGTTCTCCATAGTCAGCATTTGGATAATAAATTTTTGCACCTCATTCTCAACATTCAAACAAGACATACCTTCATTCTCATGGGAAAATTGTTGTGACTTTTCCTTATATGTTACCATTTCATCTAGTTCCATACATGCAAATTCCCGAATGACCACATTAACAAATGCATCAAACGGTTGTACGTTTTGAGTCTCCTTTTGGACAGAATCATCATTCGTAGGAACATGTACTTCATTATCACTTGCATGGACAGATTCATTACCCACAATATGATCATCACCAACTAAATTAGGTTCATCACCTCCATATTTCAATTCTGAATTTAAAGCACTCTTGCTGACAACAGTGTTTTGTTGTGGAAGCTCAATACTATACTGCACATTTTTTGAATTTTTTCGATTTCCTCTCATTAAGTTTTTCTCACCAGCTGTTTTATTTAGTTTTCTTCGGACGACCGGACAACATCTTATTAACGTTAAAAATTTGAATTTGATGACTGTGAATTACACAGTCATAGCCATAATAATATCCATTTGTATACAGTAACATTCATTTTTCAGTTAATATCATCATTAGTAACATCATTTGAATATAGTAACATTGATCACAAATTTAATATTGTCATGCAATTAAGTAATTGTCAAAAATAATTTAAATACTTGATCAGCTATTATATCAGACAGTGTGTTTTGTGAGAGGGTCACCCAAAGTTTTCTTAAGTACTATTTCATCCATCGTGGGAATGCATCCGCCTTGTCGGCTACAATAAGAGTCGTGTGTTCACATATCCAGTACTGTAATTTAGACATAATTACATTATATAGAACATATAGTTTTTAATGAAAAATAAAAAAAAATCAAATAAATTATCAATCTAAAAATTATAGGTAATAGTAGTACACAACCGGTTACTGTACTCGGTGTTTCAAACTTCAACCGTATGGAATTCATCATCACATCAATATGTACGACACGTATCCGCATCCAATTGTTTGACCCATATTTGTAATTAGTAGTGTCACTAAGACATACAAAGATAACAACCTAGCAAAATCTTCACAATCATCCTTACCAACACCCGTTACTGCCTCCTCCAACCTGATTTTTATAATTGGTGCATTCAACCTTTTAGTGTTATTGAACCTCCTTCTAACAAATGGTGAATTTTTTTTTGCACTTTGGGGGGAAAGAATTGGATCAACACCATCTTCTATACCAAAAATTAGTGTTACATCGGTCTTCCGTATCTTCAGACCTTTTCCACTAATACGGAATCTTGATGTTTCACCATCAAACATTGAAATTATGTCCACAATACTCTTGTCATTCTTTTTGAACCATTCTTTATCTACTTCAGTTGTTGATATTGTGTTAAATGGATGCCAAAATGGTGTTCTCTTTAGTTGTTCTTTGTAATCATCTGTGATATTTAGGTCAGTTATAACATTTACCAATGGAAGCAAATTAGACCGAAATTGGTGAAATACAGTTGCTTTTGGAGCAATAGATTTACCTTTTTTAGCCATCAACCTATAACATGACATTTGAATATTAATGGATAAACAACATACAATAACATTATATTAATAACATGAGAATGAAGAATGATCATGTTACACAGTAACAAAATATTAGTAACATGGTCATAGTAACATTATTTTCTTAATTGCAATCCAATGAGAAAGAAAGCAGTTGAATTGAAGATTGCAAAATGAAGATTACAATCATTTCAAATAGTAACATACAAGTAACATCAATTTTGGTTTATACACTATCAAATGCAAAGATTGAGCTATATATAATGTAACATAGAGCTTTAATTATAAACAAAAAATACAAAAGATTGTGATCACTAACACGTTTATAGTAATATCAATTCACAATAACATCAAAATTAACAATAATTTTTCCAACAAACATATTGAAACTACGATCGACACATTGCAATGATTATAAGTTTTGCACTAGTAACTCATCAAGTAGCTACCAGTGACTAACACTTTTATTAGGGATATGAACCCATAACAATAACATCAAAACATTTGGAATTCTCAAACCCATATTGTTGCTCACACACAGTAACATGTATTTTCACAGCCACAAATCAATTACTAATCTATTGTATATAACACCAAAGAAATCAACAAAATAGAAATCAATACCATTTTTAATTCGTAATAATGAATCACATTTTTTAATATAGGAATCTAAAACAAATAACATCAAATTTACTACAACTTCAATGTTTAATTTTTACTATAAAATTAATTAATATTAAATTCACTTTAAAATCTTTGAACATCAAAGTTACTGTAAAATCAATGAGCATCAAAGTTTCTGTAAAATCAAAATTACAGTAAAATCTACATGCCAAAGACACATCTTGATATTGTTAATCCACCAGATACAAGTCTTTATTTACCACAGAAACAAGATCTCTTCAAGCCAATTCATAATCCTAAAAGCAACTGAACTTCCCAAAAATCCAAGATGTAATGTACAAAAAAAACGTCCAGCTCAGATTTCATCCTCTCGTGAGTCCAAACAACTCCCTTCTATATTGACATGTTTACAGTAAATATAGAAGGTTTTGATCAGTAACATGTTTACAGTAACACCAAGATGTTAGTAACATCCATAGTACACAAACACATCCATTCATTGAAAGTATGAAATCATTTTTTCAATTATCACACAGTAACCTAAAAAGTTTCAATGTACTCTTGAACCAATGATTTTTGAATTTCTAGAACAACGAAGAAAGCAACAAAAAATTTAAACATTTAATTATATAATAGAATGATTAAGTAACAGTAACACAAACAGGTCCATCCCAAATTTCATATTGTGCACAGTAACATCTAAATTCAAAAGATTTGATGTTACTGTCATGAAATAATGGCAATACAATGTTAATGGTTGATTTAAGACACTCAATACAAATCAATAACATCAATATATCGACATTAAGATAATAAATTTTTAAAATTGATCTCACAGTAACATTAGAAATTCTAAAGAAACCACACCAATCAATTTTGAATGTATAACACCATGAAATGAAAAATGAAATCATAATACCCAAATCTTTTATATAGTAACAAGAACTCACAATATTATTTTCAAAATTTTTTTTTTAAAAAAAATTAGACAATACGAAATACATAGGGTGTAAATGTAGTTTTAAAACCCTAAAAGAAACATCAAAGTTCATGTAATATCACATACCTTACAAATTTTTACAAAATCCCGAAACTTTGTGAAGATTTCAAGAATGTCGAGAACAATTGTAGCTTTTTGCCGAATAAACTTAAATAGTAACCCCGATTTTCGATTTTATTGTGTGAAACCAGTTTCAATTTTGAATTGATTCAGTTTGGGTAATGGAGGTTTATGGTTTTCAGAGAAGGAGAATGAGAAATATTTGAGGAATGTTGTCGGATTCGTAGCCTCAAATGAAGGAAGCGAGAGTTACAAGTTGCAAAAAAGATGAAAACTAAAGAGTTCTCCGTCTAAGAAAACAAACAGCAAGTTAAACGACGTTTAATATTTTTAAATAAATAAGGGTATAATAATAAAAATGACAAAAAATGGACTTCAAACCAAATAAGTCCATCCAAGGGGACCGACCTCCAAATTTCCTTTTATAAAAACACCATTACCACATAAAATATTATTTAATTTCCACAATGGACTGAATGGTTGGAGCCCACCATATGTTGGGCTCTGATCTAAACCCATTTCAAGTTAGCGCTTGCTTCCTCAAAACGCAAGGCCCACAACCTCTTCTTCCAAGGTTCAATGTTTTTTTAAAGGAAATATCAGACACGTGGACGGTTGAATATCTGCTACTTAACCGAACCGCATAATTACGAACCGAAAGGAAGCTAAGATAAAGTGTACCCTAGCAATATATATCAGGGTTTGAGGACAACTTATCTACGCCTCTCTCTCAGTGCGCTAACAAGCGTAAGGTCACTGAGAGCCTCGCATAGCACGCCGAATCAGTCTCTTCGTCTCTCTCTCTGTCTCTCTCTTTATTCCCTAATTTCACGATTGTTTCTCTGTGATTTATATAGTTACATACACATATATTGTTTTTCTGTATCTGTACACTTCTCTTCATCTGTTTACGCTTTTGATTGGATCCACTTTTTGTGAGAACCTGTAGATTCTTGTAAGTGGTGGTTGTATTCGACTATTGCTATAGCTCTGTCTGTCTTCTGTATTTACTTTTTTGTTTTGCCGATTGATTGTGTGTGTGTGTTTTTGTAAGTCATCTAAATATGTGATAGGTTTTGTGATCGTGTCCTGATGAATATAGGTACCACATGTTAGTGTTAGATCTATTAAATTGTATACAGGTTAAGGTTTTGTTTTCGAGCTTTTAATGCTTCTCGATCTAGTAGCTCCCATGGAATATAATTTTACTTATTTCATTGAGTAGGCATAGATTTGGATTTCTTTGCATTCAATTCCTTCAGCTATCTTTTTTTGTAAGATGATTTGTTTGCTTTGTTTTCGTGCTAATCAAAATCACTGAATCAAATTTTTAGTAATTTGTGTTCCTCTACCTTTGATTCTTGAAGTAAATCATGTTTATAACATTTTGATTTGTTTTTCTTAATAAAAACCAGTTTTGTGCTTTGGTGAATTATACTGTTTACGTATTTGCGTGGCTATGCCTTTACTTTATCTTTGAAATATAGACTTCTAGTGGTACGTCCCGGGATAATAATTCGTGTCTCTTTTTTATTGTTTAATTTATCATTTTTTCCTTTCATGATAAAAAAAAATAGGTGATAAAAATAAATTTTTTGAATAAATTTGAAAAAAATAGGGGCTGGTTATTGGAGGACTTCAGAGGTGTTACAAATGATGCATTGTAGCGTTTTATTGGAGGGAGCCTTAGGTTTTGAATTAAAAAATTCTAAATTCTAGAAAATTAGAAAATCAAGCCTTCTTCCTTCTAATTTGTTTGTTTTATATATATAGATAGATCTCTTGAGTATGTTTTCCTCGCTATTACAGTCTTGTTGAAGAGGAAATATTTTCTTTCCTCAAGTGCTGTGATTTCAGATCTGTATCTCTTTTGGTTGACTTACTATTTGAATTTTAGATTTTTCATTAATTTTCCAAAAGGACCATGTTAGTTGTACTTGGATATTTATCATTCACAGTTTTTCTTATATTGAAAATAAGTTTAGTAATATACCTGTTAGATGTTATTTGTTACTTCAATTTGCAATAATGTGTTGATGTCTTTCTATGTCTCTAATATCAAGGGTTTTTGGTTGCAGTTACAATTACTGAGAAGTATTTTATTCTTTTAAGTGTGGTGATTTACCAATATTTTTTGTGGATAAACATGTGATGTACAAATAACATATCTGTCTGGCATAGGCAAAATGGCTTTGAAGTGTTGTATTATGTTGATATTTTTCTGTATGAGGTCCTTTTCCTTGTTGATTTATCTACAGTAGGATTGCTGTTTGCACGAATCTTTGTGAGAGTATGTTTATGCTGGATACTGTTCTATATTCCTTGAGGTTCTTATTATCAGTTTGCTAAGCTTGTTTACTAAAGTCATGCTGATTGTGTTTTCTTGTGTTTTGTGGCAGGCATTGTTTGAGGAACATTTCCTATTTATACTCTTCTCTTTGTAACTTTTAAAATTAGTCAAAATGGTAAGTAGGATACTTTTTTTGGTTTCTTTTTTCCCCTGACTTATCGTGGGCTGCTGGAAACTTTTGAAATTTTCTGATGGATAAATTTGAATGACACCTGCAGGTGAAGTTCACAGCTGATGAGCTTCGTAGGATTATGGACTACAAGCATAACATTCGTAATATGTCTGTTATTGCTCATGTTGATCATGGTACAGTGGCTACTTGTTTACCTTTTCCGTGTTTATAAAAAAATTTCCTTGTTAGCTGGAAACTTCGAGCAGATGAATGATTCATTTCATTGTACCATAGAAGTTATCAACAGTTCAACATCTATAAAGTTGTCCTTCTTGTTTGTGATTTTTTGGGGGATGGAGATGCAAAGAAGTAGTAGCAGTGAAATGGGTGTCTGGATGCTCCTAGTAATATTTTATGATTACAAGCGACATTTTAATTGGTGATGAAAAAGGGGTGTGGCCATGTGGGTCCACCACCCTCCTCAATGATGAATATGCTGTTATTTCCACCTTGTCTAAATTTTGAAACTGTTGTGCCTCTTTCTCTGGCTCTTGGTGCTTTTGTTAACTTCTTTTTACTCCTAACAGGGAAGTCCACTCTTACTGATTCTCTTGTGGCTGCTGCTGGTATCATCGCGCAAGAAGTTGCTGGTGATGTACGAATGACTGATACCCGTGCAGATGAAGCTGAACGGGGTATCACTATTAAGTCCACTGGTATCTCACTGTACTATGAGATGACTGATGCATCTCTAAAGAGCTATAAGGGAGAGCGACAAGGAAATGAGTATCTTATCAATCTCATTGATTCACCTGGGCACGTTGACTTCTCATCCGAGGTGACAGCTGCTCTTCGTATCACTGATGGTGCACTTGTTGTTGTTGATTGTGTTGAGGGTGTTTGTGTCCAAACCGAAACTGTCCTTCGACAAGCCCTTGGAGAAAGGATCCGACCTGTCCTGACCGTAAACAAGATGGACAGGTGCTTCCTTGAACTCCAGGTTGATGGAGAGGAGGCATATCAGACATTCTCCAGAGTTATTGAGAATGCAAATGTCATTATGGCCACATATGAGGATCCACTTCTTGGTGATGTTCAGGTGTACCCTGAGAAAGGGACAGTTGCCTTCTCTGCTGGGCTTCACGGTTGGGCCTTTACTTTAACCAACTTTGCCAAGATGTATGCCTCTAAATTTGGAGTTGATGAGTCTAAGATGATGGAAAGGCTCTGGGGCGAGAATTTCTTTGACCCTGCCACCAAGAAGTGGACCACCAAGAACACGGGCTCCGCTACTTGCAAGCGTGGATTTGTCCAGTTTTGTTATGAGCCCATCAAGCAGATCATCAACACTTGTATGAACGATCAAAAAGATAAGCTGTGGCCCATGCTGCAAAAGCTTGGTGTTACCATGAAGTCTGATGAGAAGGATTTGATGGGGAAAGCATTGATGAAGCGTGTTATGCAGACCTGGCTTCCTGCTAGTACTGCCCTCCTGGAAATGATGATCTTCCATCTCCCGTCGCCGGCTACGGCTCAAAAATACCGTGTTGAGAACCTATACGAGGGCCCACTTGATGATCTTTATGCTAATGCTATCAGAAACTGTGATCCTGAGGGGCCTCTTATGCTTTATGTTTCCAAGATGATTCCAGCATCGGATAAGGGTAGGTTCTTTGCCTTCGGTCGTGTGTTTTCTGGGAAGGTATCGACTGGTTTGAAAGTGAGAATCATGGGACCTAACTATGTCCCTGGGGAGAAAAAGGACTTGTATGTTAAGAGTGTTCAGAGAACCGTTATTTGGATGGGAAAGAGGCAGGAAACCGTTGAGGATGTACCATGTGGGAACACAGTTGCCTTGGTTGGTTTAGATCAATACATCACTAAAAATGCTACCCTGACAAATGAAAAGGAAGCTGATGCTCATCCGATCCGAGCAATGAAGTTCTCTGTCTCGCCTGTTGTGCGTGTTGCAGTTCAGTGCAAGGTGGCATCTGATCTTCCCAAGCTTGTTGAAGGTCTTAAACGGTTGGCCAAGTCTGATCCTATGGTTGTGTGTACCATTGAGGAGTCTGGGGAGCATATCATTGCTGGTGCTGGAGAACTGCACCTTGAGATCTGTTTGAAAGACTTGCAGGATGATTTCATGGGTGGAGCTGAAATCATAAAATCTGATCCTGTTGTGTCCTTCCGTGAGACAGTTCTTGAGAAGTCGATCCGTACTGTAATGAGCAAATCTCCTAACAAGCACAACCGTCTTTACATGGAAGCTAGACCTCTGGAGGAAGGGCTGGCGGAAGCCATTGATGATGGGCGCATTGGTCCAAGAGACGATCCCAAGGTCCGTTCTAAAATCTTGTCTGAGGAGTTTGGTTGGGACAAAGATCTTGCAAAGAAAATTTGGTGCTTTGGACCCGAGACCACTGGTCCTAACATGGTGGTTGATATGTGTAAGGGAGTTCAGTATTTGAATGAAATTAAGGATTCTGTTGTTGCTGGTTTCCAGTGGGCTTCAAAGGAAGGTGCATTGGCTGAGGAAAACATGAGGGGTATATGCTTTGAAGTTTGTGATGTTGTTCTTCATTCTGATGCAATTCACAGAGGTGGTGGACAGGTCATTCCAACAGCTAGGAGGGTTATTTATGCTTCCCAGCTGACAGCCAAGCCCCGACTCCTGGAGCCTGTGTACCTGGTGGAGATCCAGGCTCCAGAGCAAGCTCTTGGTGGAATCTACAGTGTTCTGAACCAGAAACGTGGGCACGTGTTTGAGGAGATGCAGAGGCCGGGTACCCCTCTATACAACATCAAGGCATACCTTCCTGTTGTTGAATCATTCGGGTTTTCAGGCACCTTGAGAGCTGCTACGTCAGGGCAAGCTTTCCCCCAGTGTGTGTTTGATCACTGGGATATGATGTCATCTGATCCATTGGAACAGGGATCACAGGCGGCAACTCTTGTTTCTGAAATCCGCAAGCGGAAAGGTTTGAAAGAGCAGATGACGCCACTTTCCGAGTTCGAGGACAAGCTGTAAGTCATCTGCCAGGGGTTCGACTTTGCGAGAGACAGATGATACCTATGTTAACGCTGGGCACAAAATTTTTGCCTCAAATATTTCGTTTTTCTTTTTCAGTTTTTCGATTTGCCCGTGGGGGGTAGTACTTTAGTTATAAGTGAAGTTGTCTTCTAGAATGCTCCGCTTGTTCGATGTTATTTACAAGTACGAGATGTTCTATTTATTTTTCATTACATGTTTTGGTATTTGGACTATTCCAACATTTATTAGCGAGTGTCAGTGCTATTAACGTTCCTTTTCATAGTAGGTAATTTTGCCCCTGATGCTGTGATGTTGAGAATAATTGATGGATGAGGTTATGAGTCTCGGTTGTGCGTGCGGTGTATGATGCTTCTTCACTAGATGCTTCTGTTTTGATACCTGAATGAATTCCTGTGTTCATGATCTGCACTGTGCTCACCGAGCTTAATGGCATTTTTTTTTATTGATTTTTTCCTCCTTTTTTTCGAAGTGTTCGTGTCTTGTGCATTGTGTCCTTTTGGCAATTAAATGAAAGATCAATAGCAAGTGTTTTGGCAAAGAGTTATCATGGACTTACAATGAGAACTGAAAGCTGGGTCTTATAGATCAAAAGAATTTGAACTTTTTTACAATTACAATTCAATTAGTAAAAGAATCAAAGCACAGCATAAATCCATGTTCAGAACTAGTACTAGAAAAATCAAGAGGGTAGCTGGATCACAAAAAAAAAATGACATCGGTGACCTCTTTTTTATTATACTTTCAAGATCTTTTTATTTTTTTTATTTTTTCTGTTAATCCTCAATTTCCAGATGATTAAGAGCAATTGTTCACACCCATAGTTAGGCCAGATGAACATCCCAGCCTTCGTTCAATTCCAACTCTGGAGGAAATCAAAACCACTTTGTTTGTTATGCGCCTACAAGCCCAGACGTGATGGTATGTCTACAGTTTTTTATATAACCTATTGGTGATGTGGTGAGGAGTTTCTTTATGGGGAACACATTCTAAGGGAGCTAAATAAAATCAACATTTGCCTTATCCCGAAGTCTCCTAACCCAAGCACTGTCCATCATTATAGACCAATTAGCCTAGGTAATGTGTATATCCAAAATCCTTTGCAATAGAATACATCCATACCTAGATTAGTTCATTACCCTTACCCAAACAGCCTTCGTACCTGGAAGAACCATATCTGAAAATCTTGTTCTTGGCCAAGAAATCATTCACCAATTAAAAATGAATAAAGGAAAAGGGGCTTTATTGCTCCTGAAAATTTGCATGGCCAAAGCCTTTGATAGGATATAATGGCCATTTTTTTATTAAGATCCAAACATCAGCAGGATTTCCTATGCCCTTTATCCAGTTAATTGAACAATGCATCTCAACCCCAGCTTTTTCAGTGTTGGTTAATGGTGGCCCTATGGGGAATTTTACGAGTCAAAGGGGTCTAAGGCAAGATAGTGCATCAAGGTGGGGAGAAATCTGGAACAAATCCCCACCAGCAGTGATAGGCTGGTTTATTTTATTTAGTCAATAGTATAGTCAGGTAGAACATGTTTTTCTCTACTTTCATCCTCAGGTACCTCTTTTTCCGAAAGCCAAAAAAAAAAAAAAATGATTTCAACAGTGCAAAGCCACGCAGAACAAGTCAACCACTTGCACTTATAACCATCCTAATTCGAGAAGATGAAAAAAAAACATTAATATTGGACATGCCTAGTCCTGCAACAGACCAAGTGTACCCTTTTTCAAAAATCTCATCAAATAATCGAAAGGGAAACACAGGTTATTTTTTCCAATTTTACAGGAGAATGAAGAAGTCTTTTGTTTCTGATCAGCAAGAAGAGCATCTTTTCAGAACCGGCAATTGCAGGATAGCAAGATATTTTTTTGTCCGCCCATCTCTCATCTACATGACTTTAAGAGCCACTCATCTGAAACTAGTACCGGGACTGCTTGGACTTCTTCTTCGAAAGCGGCTCTCCTGAAGCTGCAATATATGCCTCAGGGTCAATCTTCACACTAGATTTTTGCTTCCCGAACTCCTTTGCCTTATTCTGTAACACAATCAATACAAGATTATAATGATACACAAGAATCATTCACAAACTTGGGTGCACATGATTTTGAATCTTTTCTATTCAAGTATATCAATGCATCTTGAACAACCATAGCAAAGGATATATCTTCAACATCACAATTTTACTCCATTATCATGATTACCTTCAAAGACAGTGCCCTGGCAGCCACATCGTTCCTGTCATCATTAGATTTACCAAAATCCTGCTTTGTGGGCTCCTGCAGAAGCCGATTTATAATTGAATGAGAAGAAGATATAACATAAGCTGAAAGTCAAATACATGACATGATCTGTCAGACAACCTTGGGAGGAACAAATGCTTCTTCCCTTTTTCTTTTGTTTTCAGCCGCCCTTTCTGCCTGTTTCTCCTGCTTCTCCTGCCACTTCTTTGCAAACTTCTTTTTGTCACTTAAAAAGTATTCACCACTTTCCAATTGCAGGTCAATCTGCAGAGATTAAGAATTTCAAAATTAACAGTCATCAAAGAAAGCCACACAGAAAATGGAAACTTGGTGGATGAAAAAGAAAAAAAACCTGTTTCCATCAAGAAACACGATGAATGAGAGTAGTGCAAAAATAAGATACGAGAAGAAAATTAGAAAAGGGGAGGAGAAGATAAAAGAATGGAAAAACCAATCTCCTATTGCAGAATCAAAAAACAGTTTGGGATCTGTGACTTGTTCCAGAGTTGAAGAACAACATATTGAAATGCTGAAGTACAATCTACTGAGTTGACACATCATACAGTGGAGGCGTGGACTGATATTGATTAACACCATTCATATTGAAACAATTACTAACTAGGATCACAATACAGATTCTGAACCATAAAATTTTACCTAAACAGAGTCATACCACAACCTGTCTAAATCTAATCTTTCTAGCCTATACAAACCACAGGATTAGAATTTGGACTAAGTTCCAACTAAATCAGGTGATACTTTCAGTCCGCACGGGATATGTAAAGTGCTAAGAAAAGAGGGTCATGATGTGATGATAAACCGAAAAATCAAAGCTTTCAATCTCTTACTGCTACCAGATAAACCACTCACCTTACTAGGTTGCTGCGGAGGAGGGAACGGTGTATACTGTTTCTTCTCTTTACTCCGAACTTTCTTCCGTTTAACATTTTTCCTAAAAATGATACAAATCACAAAAAAACATATCATAACACACAGATGCTTTAAATAACTACTACATGCATTTACATAAATACATGACGAATAGATGTCATACTTCTTAAAATTGGGAAGAAACCTGTCCCAGTTCTCATTTGCAAGAGCTGGATCTTTTCCAAGCTCCTTCTTCATCATGAGAATCTGTATTTGGCATAGAGAGGAAAAAGGAAAACATCAGCAAATCCCCTCGTGCAAAGAATAAATACAGTAGAATCAAAGGATCCCATCAAATTCACCTTGATATGAAGAACTGGATGCATTTTATTTAGTATACAGTCCTCTACAATCCTCCTCACTTGTTTCAGACCTTTAAATGAACCCATAGCAGCAACCGTGTTTCCCTACTCATTTTAAGCCGAATATATTGAATTATAAACCATCCAATTTTGAAGAAAAACAAAGGAATCCGATCAGGAAAAAAACAATCTATAAGATCGCAACCTGCTGGATAAGGCAGCTTAGTGACAACACAATCAAAATGATGTACCTGAACTAAAATATAGCAGCCAGTCAAAATCTCCAGCGCCTGCATTGCAGTAAGAAAATCAATGGCGATGCGAATATATTATTCTCACTCATAGATAACCAAACGTTATATATATTTACCATTTAAAATAGATAAACATTATATTACATCTTGGACATCAGACATAAATTGATTAACTACTAGCAACCTACACATCCCCTTTCTAATCCTTTTTTAATTTGAGACCCTTTCTGATTTTCTTTCTTTTGCTTCCCTTTGGGGTTGTGGAGGATGTAAGTTTACTTACCTTCAGAGTAGAAGAATTAGGGCCCACAAGAAGTTGTCTTCGTTTGACAAATCGTTCCTGCAACAATAATTGAGATTCAGGGCCAAATTCTAAATATTGAAGAAATTATAAGCCATTATCTTTTCTGGTAATGATGTTTCATTGAGGCCAAGATACTAGTATCCTAAAAGCTTGAAATACCCAACTTGTTAACAATTTCTAAAGCTTCTGAATCACAATTGTGCACTACTACAATTGAGAATTTTGCTGATTCACAGTTTCCAAATAACATGATGCAAATAAGTTAACTGCACATCATCTACACATTTAGATAAAAAGCATATTTCCAAAAATAGCCGCTAAAACCACCAATGCTTCCCCCATAAAAAGCCTCTCCTCAATTTTTCGAAGATACAGATGCACCAAATACAAAATACCATTTTGAATTATGTAAGCAGTATGCACCTTGTTGCGGACTAAGTTGCCAATCTTGATCATGTCACACTGCATTTCATCATTCAGGATCTTAATTGCCTACGACAACACAGCCATGTAAGTACTTAACATTCAATAAAAGATACAAGGAAGTCCTTTACAAGTATGCCATCAGTATGAAATTCTGCTCTTCGTTATAGTCTTTAAATCTTTCTTTGGTTGTGTGCATGAGTGAGTGCATGAATGTTGTGAACAAAAATAACAACATTCCTCAAAAAGTACAAGGAATTCTTTCATGAGTATGCCATCAGAATGAACCTTCTCCTCTTTTACATAGTCTTCAAATCTTTCATCTTTTGTGTGCGCGAGTGAGTGCACACGTTATCAAAAAGAATAACATCATTATTAGCAAGTATGCAGATCAATCCTCAATACCAGATGGTCAGCATTTAAAACAATTTATTGTTTCAGGTATGGTGTATATAACAAAAAAACAGTCAGGGAAGCCAATGGACATTCGGTTAGATCCACCTGCCTGCATTACAGTATATCCAACAATGTACATATACATAAGAGCAAAGGCTTGCAACAACTGCATATGTGCAATAGGAATTCGTACATGATACAACCCCAAAAAAGTCAAAAAAGGGAAGGACAGTTGTACCTGAGGTGCAGGGACACTTCTTGACAAGAGTTTAATGAGATCCCTAGCTTTCACTATAATATAGGGATCCCTTGTCTTCCTAGTTGTTGACACAGTCATGGATCCTTCAACCTGACCACCAATAGAACATGCTGAATTACTATAACAAAAAAGATGCTATATGAGGTTATATAGATCAGCTAAGATGCTTCCAATAGAAAATAAGGTAAACCAGATCATCAGGCACCAAAAGAAATGACAGATAATTAACAAATGTTGATCCATCAAAGACTAAAACCCCGCCCCAACTACTTATGGATGCCTTGAAAAGTTGGACACAATGTAACATAAATGTTGAAAGTTTTTGAGAAGACAGATCAACAAATTACGTCTACTAGATATCCAATGAAATATACCACTAAGTCTAAACAAAAGACAAGAGGTAGCCATCTCCAACAAATTTGTGGGAGTTTGCCATGTTCCACATGACACGAACCCTGGAAGAAGTGTAGGTGCTATGGATCAATCCTCCACTAAATCAAGTTACAAACTCAACCAAAAATCGTAATAGGTTTCTTATTTCTCACTTGAACTAGTACATCATATATTTATGAATAAGTGGCAAGTGATGCAGAGAAGGTAAAGAATAAAGATATGGTGCACACAAAAAGTTAATTGGCAACTGGCATATTAGTTGATTAGGAATGTGAAACATAGACTTATCATCTTTGACATATGTGGTTGCTGATGAGGTACAGACCCTTCGTAGTTCATAAACTAAATCTAGGCAGACAAGTGAAACTGATTATCAAGCTTGTTCTCCCCTTTTACAGCTATTATCTATCACACCCAACTTATGTTTAGGGAGACAATGAGAAAGGGTCATCCAAAACAAGGCCATGAAAATTTCAAACTTAGGCTGTCTGTTACCTTTCTGCTGGATCCACAACAAAGATAAAGAACTAACAAACAAAACATATGTGATCACTCACCAAGTTTAGTTCACACGAAATTCCATGCTCTTTCAATGCACCTTTCACAATGGGCCAGGCTTCTTGCAAGTACTTCTCTGCACATACCAAGGCATAGACATAATGATAAATATGCAGGACAACTGTTTTCCGTTTGGACATGTGGGGTAAACACTTATTCATGAAGACAAAAACAATTATAGATACAGTTCATTGCTCAATTACATTCCAATCTCAACATGATTCAGCACATGTCAAGCAGACATATAGCTTCTGATTCTGAACTAGGCTCACACAAAGGAATACTGACAAAACGGAACAGTCTTAGAGAAGAAAGGATACATCATCCAGATGGAGACAATGGTAGGATAATAAAAATGAACACTAAAAGTTCAAATTCTACCCTAGTAGCAGTAGTTTCCAGGAATCTTTAGTGAAACGTCTTATTTAAAAAATAGATCATATGGTCTATGGAAGATAACAGAAAACCTTTTATCAAATACAAAGTAATGTTTGTTATTTCTACAAATGTGTGCATAGTAACTGTGGCCCCCGATTCTAGTAATCTTTTTAAATGACAGATGATTGATCCAAAATGTCCATTTTTATCTAGGGATCATGCCAATCTGATCAATTGTTCATATCCACGAAAACTAGAAACATATAATTTCTCAAGTTCGTCTATTTCAATTGCCACAGTACCACTGCCAATTATCTTATTCTACATGAAATACAGGAATAATGTTCTTGTCAAGAACTGTAAAACACAGTAACACACGTCGTCCTGATCAATTAGTGGTCAGCAGTGGCAAAACAAACTCACTAGATTATATTCCCTGGCACCTCATCCTGTAGCACTCTACCTTCATTTAGTTAAAATTTGGATATTTTTGTTCTCCTACTTCAAAACAATCCATGAGCACACTCGAATTCCAGAGAAATAGAACAATCTAGGAAGAACATTAACATGCTTTAACATAAAAACCAATATTTGAATTCAGCTAAACCTATAAGCGAAATTTGTGTTTGTATGCATGTGTGTTGTGTAATCAAAAAAAAAAGAAGAAATATCTAGAAGTACAAAGTATCAAAACCACAATCTGTTTCGAGCAACATGAATTCAAATCATGAGCTAAAAGAAAATTTACATAATTGAAAAAGGCGATTGAACTAGGGTTTAGAGGAAGGAGAGAGTGAGATTTTGACCTCTGTATTGAGGGAAAAGCGTCGAGAAAGAGCTGACTTCAAGCATGCCGCCCTCGTTCCAAGAAGGATCGAACTTGTCAATCTTCCAATGGTCGATGCTGGGATCGTCCCATGGCTTCGGCTTGTCGTGCTTTCCCTTGTGCTTAGTCTTCGGCTTCTGCTCTGTTTCATCATTCCCATTCTCAATTAATGCGTCCCATACATCCATTTTTTCGATACAAAACCTCGAATTTAAGTTCAACTTCACGATCGATTATTTATGCAGAGAGCAGTTGTCTCTCTCCGCTCTCGTCTTCTTTGTAAAAGAGAAGAGTAATTTAGGGTTCACATCGATTCAACTTCGTGACCGGCTATTTTTTATATCTATAATACTACTAAATTAGTACTTAAGGATAAAAAAAATTTATTTTTCTATATTATCCCTAACTAACATTATAAACTCTTGTTCTACATTAACGTAGGCTCTAAATATTTAATACTCCAACTTTTTCAATAAGTCAATTTATCATGTGTAGTTATGATAATGTCGCGGAAATTATGACTCAAGTGTAGTTGTGGATTGAGAGTTGATGAGTTTTATTTAGATGGTGAGAACTAGGAGATAGCCTAATCAGCAGGGAGAGGCACAGGTGTTTAGTGGTTCACCCTAGCTGGCGGACTGAGGTTACATCCACTGTAATGATGTTTCTTGCTCTTTGAACTTGTATATTGATTCCTTTATTTGAGGTAAGTAGCCTTACAGGCGCTGGGTCATTACAGGAAGTTATATTTTAACTCATGCATTCTTCGGTACTCGAACACCCCAAAGGAGTTCTCATCGGCTCCTCTTATCTGCTTGTTGATTCTGTGAGGACCTTCCGTCCTTGTCCTACAAGTAAAGCCTTGCCAGCCGGCGTTACTGTACCCACTGTGCCTTGGTCGTTACGTACCACCACTCCCCGCAGATAGGTGTGATTGTCATAGGTTTCATAGATGGTCCCCTTGTCCTTTTGGGACGCGTGGCGTGGTGGAATGCGTCTAAGGTTAGGGTTTGACTTCTCCTTCTCTGGCTATCTTTCAGCTAGGGCCGGACCGCCAGTCCTTTTGGGCTTTGCTTCTTGATACGGGCTGGCTAGGTATGCTTCCCTTTGACCAATAGGCGAAGCAGAATGCTCTGGGCTCATTAGGCTTTATGGCCATAGCGGGCAATACTTAAAATTATGTCCCAATCAGTTGCCCCCCAACCCCTAGTCACGATGATGATGTCATCTCTGACCTGGGGTTAGAAAATGTCGGATCCTTCTTTATGCAGTGAAACTATCTGGCGACCAGGTCTGACCCGATTTTGGGCTGGGTCGATGCCTGTCGGTTATGGTGGTACACGTGTCGCCAGCGAATGAGCCCGATGGGATGGTTTCCTTGGCGTGTCCTGTCATCAGTCTCATCACGGCTTAAATGCTGCGTATAAAGGGAAATCTTTTTTTGCCTTTTCAAGTTTCGTGCCCTTTGAAATTCTCTCTCATGTCTTCTTCCTTCCTTTCGATTTCTAAGGCATCTCGTTCCAGGCCTCTTGGTGACTTAGAGCATCTTCATCTCTGGTTCTCTTCTGCTTCTAGCGCTTCACTAGGTACGTCTTCTCTTCCTTTTCTTTACTCCTTCAACTTGGATCCATTCAACCCTCCTTGGTGGGGCTTTGGATTTCGTTTCCTGGTCTGGAGGTTTAGCTACTTTAGTGAACATTCTGACGACCTCTCTTTCCTATTGTGGTTCGTAGATCACCTTTCTGCGTCACGGGTACTCTTCTTTAGAGTTTGGTGTCTGAAACCTCTATTTTTAAAAGATTGCACCTTGCATCCGCCCTCTCTTCATTTCGGTTTGCAATCTGAGCTTTTGATGGGAGAATTCGTTGTTTCTTCTGAGTTGGAGTTTGTTGACGAGGGGACCGAGGGGGCCTCAACGACTTCTTCTAGCGGTCATTCCTCTTTCGCTGACGATGAGGCTTTGGGGTCTGTCCCCGAAGTTTCATCTTTGGCTCCTTCTGTAGATGCCGATCCCCTCTCCACTTTGCCTCCCGGTCCTCGTGCTCGGCTGAGGAAGAGGGAGTCTAGGGATGCGCCACCCTCTATTTACTGGAAGAGGCCTCGACGTGACCTGTCCTGCTTGTGCAGAGGATACCTCTAGCTGTCTTGACGAGGAAGACCTGGAGGATCTGAGGCAGGAGTACCGCTTCCCTGATTCTATATCTTTGCACCCCCCCCAAGAAACACGAAAGGTGTAATTCCTCTATCCCGGGCTTGACCTGCTTCTACGAGTCCGCGTTTTGGGCCGGCCTCCGTTTTCCTGTTCATTCTTTCATTCGGGACATCCTTGCCTTTTATAATGTCTGTCCAGCTAGGCTCTCTCCTAATGGCTGGGGCCTTTTAATCGGCTTTCTTGTCCACTGGTTTGAGAGTGGAAATGACTCCCCCCCTTCCATCTCAAAATTTGCCTCCCAATTCTAGCTTAAGTCTTCTCCTTCCTTGGGCTTTTTGTATTTTGCTAAGAGGGTAAAGGCGAAGACTCTGATTTTTGGGCTCCCTTCTTCTAACAAGGGGTGGAAACCTAAGTTCTTCTTTGTTAGGGGGGACTCCTAGGAGTTGTCTAGTGAGCCTGGTGACGTCTTTCACATCCCCAGAACGTGGGGGATGCCGAGGAATATCAGTAAGGCCAATTAGCTGGCTACGCTTTCTTTTCTGTTTTGCTTCTAATTTTCACATCTTTACTTACTCTAGTTTGTTTTGTAGATTTTTGTCCTATTCTGAACACAAAAGAGACTGCCCAAGTCGCCAAGGCTGAGGTCTTTGGGTTGCAATCCTTTTCCGATCTGGTGACTGACGAGAAACTCACTAAGCACGAGATTGGTCTATCGGTCGATCTTCCATCAAGGACAACATCTTTGCCTACCCCTCAAACCGAGACTATGGACCCCAACTTGATCATGTCGATTTTCTCAGACTCTGAGTAGTCGAGGAAGAAGAGGAAAATGGCGAAGGGGGGGCGACCACCCCTAAGGTGAATCGGTGTCTGGGTCCGATGTCGCTTCTCTAGAACAAGAACGCGAGAACCCTACCTCCGTTGAGCCAGCCTCCTCGCCCTCGCTGTCCACTGATCACCCTGAGAGTAAGATTCCTCCTGAAGTGCCTTTGGTGGGGTTGCCTGGGGCTTCTGTGGCCTCACACGTTCCTCCTAGGCCTCGGCCTATCTCTCTACGAGGCCGCAAGGGGGAAAACGTCCCTTTCTCACCTAAGCCACAAAGGAGCGATTTTCTTTGCGACCCTGAGGCTGCTGTGGCAGCTTTGTCCGAGCTGATCTCTACGTCAGATCCCAAGTTAGCCATGCAGGTTCCTTTTAAAGGAAAAGTGTAGCATGTCATCCAGAGCCTGGCCGAGGTACTCTGCTCTCTTCTTTTTTTTTTTGAGTTTTCTTCAACCTCTAGGTGCTTTTAGTCGTTTACTGCGCTCGCTGACCCCCTTTTCTTTTCAGGTCCTAGCCTGCATGAAGATGATGGATTTCCATCATGGGCAGGAGCTTGCAAAAGTCCATGAGCCTCTTGCCGTCATGACGATTGCTAAGGACGCGACCGAGGATAAAGTAAAAATCCTATCAGTCGAGGTGATCGAGATGAAAAGATGCTTCGACGAGTTGGATGCTCACTTCCAAGATTATGTCAAGCTAAAGGATTCTGAGCTGGCAGTTAGGGACGCCGACTTGAAGATCAAGGACATCGAGCTGAAGGCCAAGGCCTCCAAGCTAACCGCTAAGGAAACTGAGTTGGTATCTTCGAGGGGCAGGGTCTTAGAACTCCTGAAGGAGGAGGTCGTGTCCTTCGTGAATGGATTTCTGAATTTCTGAGATCAGGCTGAGGAGGCGTACCCTGACCTTGACTTTGATTCCTTTACTTCTCAGCTTGAAGGCTTGAAGCCTGTTGGGGCGACCAGTTCGGAGAAAGATGTTGCTGCAGCTGAAAAAGGGCTTGATGCTGAGAAGGCTGCTGAGCAAATTGGGGATGCTGAAACTACTATTTGAGCTTCCTTTGTCATTGTTTCCCTCTTCCTTTTGTAACTTTTTGAACTATGTACTCGTACTTTTGGAGCTATGGTTGTTGGTTCCCTTTCTCCCTTTCATTTATGAATGAAATTTTCTCTAAATGGAAAAGTTTTTCCTCTTCTTATTTTTTGAATCAGGCTATTGTAGAATCCACTTATGTAGCTGAACTTGTTGAGCTCGTCACCTGTCAAGTTTGCCACTTGTCGAATACCTGTGTTGGGATTTTCTAGGGTTACTCTAGTCTTTTCCCATTTTTTTTATGTACTACAGATCTGACGGTTTCGTTCGTTTCAGGACGTGCGCCGTCACTAGGGCTAGTGGCCCCTCGATCGTGGTGCCTTAATGATTCTCACGATGCCACGTGTCCCTCCTCTTAAATGCGAGGGACATGTATTAATTGGGCCTGGCAAAAATGATGAGTGTATGCTTGCCTGGTCTATAAATGGGCATTCAGGGGGTCAAAATCATTTACTTCGTCTTTCTGGGGCTGTTTTTTCTTTTTGGCCTTTTAAGAGGAGACTCTTCTTCCACTGTCGCTATGGCCAAGACTCCTTCTTCTCCACGCAGAGTTATGGAATGACTCTTTCCTGATGTCAAAACCAGCATTATCAATGAAGACGAGGCTCATTCTATCGCCTTGCGCTTCGATTTTCCTCCTGGAGTGGTCATACGCCACACCAATACGCGTCCATTCCATTACTTGGACAGAGACGAGGCTTGCTTCTTTGAGGCCCCTTTCTTATTAGGGCTTCAATTCCCGCTTCCCCCTTTATCCGTGATGTGCTTCATTTTTTTGGTTTCTGTCTTGCGACGCTCCTCCCCACAGCTTGGGCGGTCTTACTGGCCTTCGCGGCAGCGTGGTGGGAATTATTCCCCCAATCCATGGCCACTGTGCCGGAGTTCCTCCAGTTTTTTCGCCCCGATGAGGCTTCTGAATTCTATCACTTCGTCCCTAGGCAAGGGGGAGAGATTCCCATCCGGGATCTTCCTCCGGAGCCTGAAGGGTGGAGGAGTAGGTATTTCTTTGTTTCTGGAGTTGGTTGGGAGTACGGGGGTCCACTTTTCAGCTTCAGGTAGGGTTCCTATGGAGTTGGGGCAGCGCAAGAATTTAGGTGAGTTTGTGTTTATCTAATGGGGGGTTGGCTCATGTTGGCCAGGCCCGATCTCCTCTGCCTTTTTCCTTTCATTAATTGATGCATCCTAAGCCAGCTTCGAATTCGAGCAGTCATGAGTCTGACGACCCCTTGTTATTCCACTATTGTTAACTTAT